ATCATGCCACCGTTACGGTAGACGTTGGTAGAGTACTTGAGGGGTATGAATAAACGGAATCAGCAGTAATGTACGAATCCGACTAACCGCATTCTTGTATTGAAGCGCGCTGAATCCTGTGTTGTGATGTATTCAACACGTGTATCTTACTCAGAGACTCGCAAACTAACCCATGTTGTATCCTTTGTTTCTGCTCTTTGCGCTGTTGATGACAGCCTGGTCGATCTCGATAGATCCCGCGCTGACAGAGCCTGCCACATCAAGCGAGTGAATAGAGCGAACATCTCATGTGCATATTTGAGCCTACCGGCGTATGGTTTGCCAGTAATAGGATCTATGCCGCCTCTCGTCTGCCACGCCGCGTCCCATGAGAAGACACAGTCAACGTTGTCTCCCCAATAGAACCTAGAAACCATCAACAACTATCATTGATGCGAGAGAAGAGAACACAGCGTACCACCAGCCATCGGCACCGCTGGTGTAGCCCTGAGTGACGATAAAAAAAAAACCAAACAAAGAAAGCGAGGGAAGAAGCCGAAAAACATACATCAGTTCCGTCAAAATCAGGACAAAAGTACAGATTGTTTTGGAGAGTGTTCAATTTCCACGCTTTCCATTCATCGTTGGTGAGACCTCCGTCGCTGAAGGTGGTGATGTACGGCTTCCCGTTGACCTTGAAGTATGCAGGTTTGCCGACGTAACCCCGCACAATGTCATTGTAAAGTTCTGGATGTCCTCCGGCTGGAATAGGTCAGTCAGGATAAGAAGCACACAGGAAAGGTTGTCTCGAAACGTACCTGCGTCTCCTGAAGCCCAAATGTCCATGGAGATGTGTAGGTGGAAGCCGCCAACACTGGCCGCATGGTCGAAGAGAAAGTTGAGAGTTGGGACGACGAAATCTGAGGGCGTCAGACCAGATCATGAGTGTGCAAGGGTGTGTACCTTTCGACGGTGTTCCGATGTTCAACGAAAAACCTAAGAGAATTAGGCTACGAATGCGAGATCGAATGCTGAACTCACCGGTAATACCAGCCGCTTTGGCGTCGTCTATATCTTGTTCGGCATGCTCTTTACGCACACTTCCGACCTGTAAATCGAAGACGTTAGCGATTCTGGGCGCCCACGATTCATCCGATCCGCACCATGTAGTGAGCAAAGACCTCCCTCGAGGCGACGATGGGAACACTGCTGAGTGCCGCAAGTGCGACACCCAGTACGGAGATGAGACGCATAATGCAGAGGAAGGTATGTGTCGTTTACGATCGTCTCTCCTCCTCCTTTATATGAACGCAGAGGGAACGCGTGCGCGTGGTGCGCGTTCCTGGGCACTTGTCGGTCCCGCTCGCGCTTCGGTGCATATTCGGGAATCCGGATCAATAACAAAACGATATCTTCTGTCCACCTGTTGTCCACCTGTTGCAGACACAGTGATTTGCGGAGGATAACCAATGAATGATCACTTTCGAGATGAGCGCTGCTACGAACCGCAATAGAATTGAAAAGCAAGCACGTACAGGATATTGGCGCTCCGGGCGACCTTCAAGCCGGTGACAGGGAACCAGGACCCAACCAGGACCGCAATCTGAAACCAGCGCTCAACTGCCACTTTTCTTCGGCTCGAGCCGCTCATCCTCAGACGAGAAAGCTTCAAATGTGTCCGGTTCAATGAAAAGAGAATGACTCACTCGCGCCGAGATGCACGTGTCCTCTCAGTGTTCATGAAAGCCTTTCAGGCTGACCGTACGGCGCCGGAGAGCTGCGACGGTGGTGGGATTTGGAAGGATCAAAAAAACGCGATCCAGGAACCATCAACAAATGATCCACAATCATTTGGCGCGGCATTGCGGCAGTGATGGCGTCCTGAAAATGCTTACTAGTACGTCTGCGCACAAAGCCCAAACAGCAAGGCAACGATACGAGGGTTGAGTTTCGCAGAATTATTCACAGTCAATGTTTCGATGCCAAGAGGATGTTACATAATTCGATTTGAAAAAGCTTTTAAAGCAGTTCAGTAAGTTCAAATTTTCCTCAGAGTCGTTAAGCATCTTATCAGTATTCTGGCATTGGAATTTATTAAGTGTTGATTTCCCCATTCACTGGCCGGGCTCTCCGCTGGGTTTCGCGGGGGGCGCTGTAGAGTTGCCGGCACTATTAGTACTGTACTATTTCGACCAAGTATTCGTGGGGTGTGACCAGTGACCCCAAGTATTCATTTTTGAAGTATTCACCGCTGGCTGGGACCTGTGACCGAATTTTCAAGTGTTCATTTTCTAAAATTTTAATAGCAATCCCTCACTGCTGAGGGCTCGAAAACACATTGATTCTCTCATTTCTTGTGCTATTGGCATTGAAATTTGTGAAAAACAAGACCAGATGCATCAATATCCAGACCATAGTGGTGCAGAAAAAAAATTGGTTTTTTGGTCTGCAAAAATGATAAAACGGACAAGTATTCATGGCCTGTAGTGACCTGTGACTTTTTCACCAAGTATTCAGTTCAGCCGGCCGTGTGACTAGTGACTGAATACTTGGTCGAAATAGTACAGTATTTGCGTCAATCTTTCTTGTGGTCTCTTTCACCTCCTTCAGTTACATTCTCATTCTACTCCAGAGCGACACAACCGGCAATGTCGTCGGAATACTTATACAGCTCTGAATCCGAATCCGACTCGAAGTTCCCCAATCGGTTGTACCATTCGTTCCATGAGATTCAAGACGACGGAGGACCTCCGGGAATGTGGGCTCCGCAGACAATCCTCGAGCTCCAGATGTGTTGCCTTTCTGCGGACATTCGACGCAAACCGCGTTGGTGGGAGAAGCTGTGGGACGAAACCATTCGCATGAACTGGATTCAGGGGCGAAGGACATCCGTGGGAAAGGTTGACGGATAATATGGTTCGTACAACCGTCTCCCGGAGTCCCAGGTCGACTTTGTTAACCAATTCTTGATATTGTTGTAGTGGACCTATGCCATGAGTGAACTGGACGGCTATGCACGGCTTCGCGACCCGGAGTCTGGCATTGAGGTGCGTCGCTAACCATTCTGGGAGGCTGGCATCCTCTCATTTGTCTTGCAGTGGGGTCCGTACGAGAGAATATTTTCATCGGACACCCTCATTCCCCAAAAAGTCGCCACGGAACTCTTAAACCGCTTAAGGATATTCCAGACGCGAAAAAGGACTGGCATCCTGGATCGGAAGGCCGCGTCCTTGACCTCGTTCATCCCTTAGGATAAAGGAGCCACTATGTGTATCTGGAGCGGTGGAGCCAAGGGTGACGTTCCAGAGGCTCATCCAGGGACCTCTGATACTTCGTAGGACAGATCTGTTTCTCTTGCAGACTCGACCATCCAAGTCATCGTCAAGTTAGCCCGAGTACGGACGGACGTACGGCTTCGAGGTCGTGTTGCAGGGCGAGGGCACCTGGATCGGCACCGCGGTCGACAGCGTTAGTGGGGAGCGGGTGCACATCGAGGCGTACACCCTCCCGGAGGGCGTCTGCAACATCGAGAGCAGCCAGGAGGGCTTCGTCGAGTGGTACCTCTGGAACGTCGAGGTGCCGGAGAATCATTGCGCCATCCTGCCCTACTAGTATCAGAAAGCCATTTTCGGGGCGCCGAGCACGAGTAGCGAGGGGTCTGTTGGGATGCAGGAGCTGGCGTACGAATACCACGACTGCGCCGGCAAGGTCGCGTTTGATACGGCGCTTCTGAGGGACGGGGTGGTTGTGGAGACTGGGTTTGAGGGGATGGATGGGTTCACCGACTCGGCGGAGGACAGTTGAGGGCGGCCGATCACAGCGCTGCTATTTTCCCTGTTTTACTCGGATGCACATGTGTATTGACTGACTTGGTTGGATTGTAGACCCCTGGAAGCGAACGCGCTGGCCGCTGGACTCCAGTTATTTTATCCTTGTCGTCCCGCACCGATCAGGGTATTCGATTTCTGATGATTCAATTACCATTTACGCACCCGATTCGGACGCCTACGGAGTGGAGGGCGTTCCCCCATTCAGGTGGGCAAGAGAGCGCGCTCGTATGCATCGGCGCAGCGGCGTTCTCCTACTTGCCGCCTTAAAGGCTCCGTATTGATTCCAGAAACATGTGCTGAGACAGTAAAGTCGTTCTAAAAGTTTGAGGACAATCCGGCCACAATTACACGGCGAATCTCCCCGGCTCAAAAGGCGTCTCGATCCACAGCAGAGGTAGTAAGTGAGTCGCTAGATAATGGGCTTTTCCGACAATAATCAGCAAAGAAAATCCAAAATCCATTTCCACTGGCAAAGTTCTACCGCGGACCGCGGTGTGGATCCATTCGGCGCCGAAGTCCGTCTGTCAGATTTTCTGCTTGTTGTATGAAGGAGGTCATTGTGGGCAGACTTTGTGGCCAGGTAGAGATGGAACAGTGAACTTAGGTTGAACTTGAGTGGAACGGAAAAGGCGGGCCGACCGGAATGCGTTGAAGTGATTCGACAGCAAGGCCAAACAAATGACCTCACCTTCGCTCCTTGTCCCAAACCACAACCACTCTCCGAGACTCTCCATGTCAGAGGTGCGGTTTAACCCCAACTCCTCTCTCCCGATCTTACATTCCCTCCACAAAGGCCTGCCAAGCTGAAGGTGTGCCTCCCATCTTAACATTTTGTTTGGGACAAAAAAAATAACTTACGCTCTGTGGACGATTATAGCGTGTGCGCTCCAGACATGCCTCAACAAAAACACCTACAAGCCAGAGAAGTGCGACGAGCGGCTGCGCGAGCTCTATCAGTGCTGCCAGAACATGTACGAGAAGAGTGGCGGGGAGAAGTCGGAGGCGACGAGCACGGCGTGTCCCATGCCGAGTGTGGTCAAACGGTGGATGAAGGACCATCCGCGGGAGGATAAATAGTAAGCTGAACGTGTATAAACGCTCTATGTCATTTCGTCGCAATGATCCCAGAATTTCGGGACGACCGAGTTCGCACAGACGCGCGGGTATCCGGACACAGCAGACCAAGTGTACTCGGACGTCGTGCATGCTGCACGCCTGCTATGTGTACGAAAGCTATTTGCCACATCTGCAGGAATCCTGGGTTCGATTCCCAGCGTCCGACTAGTTCGGTACGCACCAATTCTTCTTTTCTTTCTTTCTTTACTTTCGCTCTTTTTAAAACCCTCGCTGCGCCCCATTTCTCGAAAATCGACGTTTTTTTTTCGGGAAACTTCTCCACCCGCAACACCGTCTGCAATGTGTCCCACTTCCGGGAAGAGTCTAACCTGACCCAGTCTGCACAGCTTTAATCGCGACACCGCAGAGCAAGAGTACTCGGACGTCGTGCCTGGTGCACGCCTGCTATACCTGTTTGGATGTATTCTGTGGACATCGGCAGGAATCCTGGGTTCGATTCCCAGCGTCCAACTGAGTTGGCCATAGTCGTTCTTCCCTTTTGCCGTCCCCTTGCTGAAACTCATCTCTATGCACTTCCAAAAATCTATGTATTTCTTCTCAAAACCGGTAGTGTTTCCTATTTCCGCAGTATCTAAATTCTCCAAGTTTGCACAGATGCGCTCGTATTGGGACACAGCAGAGCAAGACTCTTCGGACGTCGTGCATGGTGCACGCCTGCTACCTCTAAAGCACTCATTCAAGCCACACATGCAGGAATCATGGGTTCGACCTCCAGCGCCGACTGATTGCCCCCAGATCCACTTTTTTCTTTCTTTCCTTGCCATCCCCATCCTGCACACCATTTCTACGAACGCCGAAAATCTACCAGTATCTTTCACAAAACCTCTTCATCCACAACGCCGTATGCAGTGTTGCCTATCTCCGCCAATTTTAAACCGACCCACTTTTCACAGACTCGCTCGTACTGGGACACATCAAACTCGTAATACTCGGACGTCGTGCATGGTGCGCGCCTGCTATCTGTGCAAAGGCTTCGCTGGAGATCTGCAGGAATACTGGGTTCGATTCCCAGCGTCCGCCTGATCCTTGACGTGTAGAGTTTTTCCCCCCTTTTCCTTCCTTCCTTTCCTTCTTTAGCATCCCCCTCCTGGATTTACAACCCCAGTCTGGCAATCAACCACAATCCCGAAATGCCTCTCACGGACAAGTATGACACAAAGCGAGTGTTTCCGCATTTCCGCAGATTTTAATGTGCCCACAGACTCGCTCGTATCGCGACACCGCAGACCAAGAGTACTCGGACGTCGTGCGTGGTGCACGCCTGCTTCCTGTGGGAAGTTTGTCTAAGAGCTCTGCAGGAATCGTGGGTTCGATTCCCAGCGCCCGACTCAGGAGCATTTTCCCCCCCTTTCTCTTGTTTTGTTCTCCTTCTGCTGGAGCCCTGCCATTCATTTCTAGGCACGTACAAGAAATGATCCTTGTCAGAAAGTTTGGCTCTCCACCCACACCGCCGTCGGCGGTTTGCCTGCTTGTTTCCGATAATAAGCGGTGAAATCTGGACTGAGTACTTACCGCCGCGCCCCATCCCATCCTCTGGAAAACAATACCACTTTCGAGGACCCAGGGATGGGATTCCGGGCCTTAGACTCAGCAAGGACTAAAAAGAAACGAACACTGAACGCGACTTCCTATTTCCCAGATCCCGAACTGAGCCAATTTATACATGCTCGTATTCGGAAACCCCTCAACCAAGTGTACTCGGACGTCGTGCATGGTGCACGCTTGCAACCTATAAGAAACGTTTCGTCAGGATATCTGCGGGAGTCATCATTGGGTTCCATTCCCAGCGTCCGACTGTTCCAGGATGTCGGAATTTTCCGTTACCTTGTTTTTCCTTCCATCTTAGTTTCTTTCGCATCTTCTTTCCGGAACTCGTTTCTATGGACAGCCAAAAATCCATGCTTCTCCACCCAGACCATCGTCTGCTTGTTTTCGATGACACCAAGTAAATACGAGCTGAGTAGCGGCCCGTCTGGTTCATCCTCTGGTAAACGTACCACCAGAGTTTCGGAACCCAGAGACCAAATACTCAATAAGAACTTCACATTTCCGCGCCAGTTCAATGATCGATCCTGTCAAAAAATATTTCCTCGCGAGGTCAACATATGTAGGAGCATGAGTATCGGTTGAGTTTCGGAATGAATGCTAGATAATGCTTAAGGGCGCAGTCTTCGAAAATTTTCGGCTGCAATTGGAGAGGCAGTTCTGGAAGGTTGTCTCGAGTGTGAAGCCGTGGTTGTGGTACAAAAGGAAAACACTTTGGTCGGTCAGCGACTCAGCCATCACATCTGATGTCATCGCTTGCTCCTTGCCACTTGCCACTGACCACGACGAGGCACATCGTCAACGCGGAATTCCTTTGTGCATTACCTACGGACCGCTTTCATTACCCAGCGTCGATTCCGACACTAGGATTGAGCTCCCATCTTTTGAACTGATTTAATTTCAAGCGGGTATAATTAGCGGCAAGAGGTCCGCGGCCAATCGGCCCAGTCTCCGTTCCCTTGCGTTGACCATTTCCTTGGGTTGAAAGTTGGTTGAACTTGAATTAAACGTCGGATCGCCCAAGAATTACCGGTGGGTCAAATGGTGCCAAGTGATCTGTGAACCGTGGCGCTGGTTAAATCAAGACGGTTTCAATTCATTTAGGTTACGACTGTTCCGGCCGTGGGTGATTACGGGACTCAGGGGAATGCACGGTCTCAAGTCCCCGTCGTAGGATCCGGATACGGTCCGCCGGGTCGGTTTCGTCCGAGTTTTGCCGCCTACACCGTGGACGTCTGAATAAACGACGTGGACGGTACCGGACAGATCCTGCGCAGGCTGCGCTGCAACGAAGCCTTCAAGAGTTCCTCTTCGACTTCCACTCGCGGCGTTCCCGTTTCCGATTTTTATCTTCGTTAATTCAGAAAGAAGGAACAGAGGAAGGAAGGTGTTCTACCTTTACGCGTGCGCGCCTCTATGAGACGTCCGAGGAACCCGGTGGACCGTGGATACGTCTCGACTCTTGGAACGGAGTGACCCAGCGCGGCCCGGCATTGAGAAGTTGCCGGGTTGTTTTACCCAAGTCGTAGGGGAGGACAGCAGGTACATAGAGTGAAATACTCCGCGGATTGGACCAAAATTGCCAGTGAACGCACGTCTGCGCACGTACTGATTATGATTTGCATCCTATTTTGGACGTGGGATTTTGGCCACGGCCATTTCAACATCTAATGGGATCTGATTCTAATGATCAGGTCAGGTGGGTATCCGATTTCGTGTTCCGTTGTCAAGATGGTTGCCAGGCGAGAAGTCCATCGTGGAATGAACTTGGAGGTTTTGCGACCCACAAAAGAGTGCTTACAGTTCGTGACCCTGGAAGTAAAAACAAATTTGCTTCTCAATTACAGAATGAATCTTGATTATTTGGAGGTGAGGCAATTTGAATTTAAGTAATGTGCAGCCGTATGCTGCTTTCGCTACGCTCTCACATACTTTGATACATGTGTCGATGACTGATCCGGCTGTGTAATTCTACTGACGTACCCTACCGATCTCAAGCGGCCTCGCCTCTGCCGTAAAGAGCCCAGAAAAACGCCAATCCCATGTTTCAGGCGACTTGGCATCGGCCAGCTATGGCCGTTCGAATTGGCATATAAATATCGAGATGGCATCGATGTTGCCTGCAGTTTTTACTTCAACTTCGCTCGCTCTTACTCCTTCCACCTTCGCTCATTCCACGATGCAATTTACCGCTCTCCTCGCTTTCGTTCTCGTCTCTGTCGTCGCGGCCGCACCGAGCCAACTCGCCTCCCGCACTGGCACCAACCCCATCCTCACAATTCACCCAAACGGCGATCAGACAAAATGTGTCGGTGTCTTGGGCGGACAGTTCATCGAGGGCTCTGCAGTTGACATGTGCGTCGTCACTCCCTCCATGTGAACAGCTTGGTTTACTTGATGCCTTACAGCTTCGACTGCAACGGCTCTGCCACCCAAAAATGGATCTCCCGCGGCACCCGCATGATCAACCCGGCCGACGGCTCCATATGGGCCCTCGACGTCTCCAAAGCTGGTGTCGCCGGCGTTGTCAATCTCGTGAACGGCGTCAAGGTCGTACTCAACAAATCCCACGACGACGGCGAGGACGGCTCGCCGTACCAGTCCTGGAACGCACAGGGTTCGCCCACGGAGCCTCAAATTCGCCTTAATATCAGCCAGGACAAGGTCATGTGCCTGGATTTGACGGATGGGAGCAAGGCGAACAAGAACACGCTGCAGATTTGGGAGTGCGCTGAGGGGAATACAAACCAGGCCTGGACGTACACTTCCGCTTAAAAAGAGGATTTGATCAGAGGATACTTTACACATACGGAGACGTACAACATCTTGGACAATGGTTTTATTGGTTTGGAATTCTTGCCGTCGAAATTCCTAGAAAGGCACGCATTATGTCAATGGCTTGTTTGGAGCCGCGCAAAAAAGGAATTGTTCAACCTCGGACCAGTTGATTTCCCAAAATACTCGGTGATGTTCTCCAGATCACCTAGACTCGCCGGCCGCCCGGTGGCAGCAATGGCAAGGCAGGACGAATGGTACCTGACATTCCGTGATCAGCAACTCGGATACACGGGACAACTCAAAATGAATTATACGTACGTGTACTTGCAGTTCCAGAATCGTCCGCTGTTAAGTAAATTGAACGTCCATCCTGGATGGTTCTAACATGGCATCGCACTGTTTCATTGGAGCTGATATCTTTAGTCGAACCTCCAGAGTCCACAGCATTGAGAAGAAAATATCAAGACGTTTCGCGCACTTTTGGGCCAGCGCGTAAATATAACCCGGTAAATTGGCCAAACGCAATTGCCGACCTGAAGCTACGCGGCAGCTAACTTTGAGAAATAAGGTCGATACGCCGGCGGACTCTGCCACAGCGCGCTCATACGTAACGTCGCACGCCCGCTCTGAAAAGTCTTTCCGGCTGCGCGGACCCCTGCGGAGGGTCTCTTCTCCGAATGTGCATCAGCTGAGGCCATTTCAGGTGGAGTGGTGGGGTATGGGATGAGCTATGGGATGCGGACGAGACAAGGATGAGACTGGGGACGAGAAGCTCCGGTTCATTGTTTGTCGCTGCTTTAGCAAACACGTGAGAGCACCTGC